ATTATTATACATTATTATACATTATTATACATTATTATACATTATTATACATTATTATACATTATTATACATTATTATACATTATTATACATTATTATACATTATTATACATTCTTATACATTATTATACATTATTGTACATTATCATACATTATACCAACTACACCCACTTTCACCACAATCACAAAAACATTCACTAAAACAATTACCTTCCACAATCTTAAAAAACAATTTTCAACAAAATTCAAGCAAACAGTCTTTTTTCTTCCACAATGATAGCATGTCACTCATATCGGTAAAGACACAATAAAGGACTTAAAACTAATTCCTCGCTATCTCCAAGTTTATAACGAGATTTCGTAATGTATCGTAGAACGACGACCCACATGGATACTGGAACAAGGCGTTCGTCCTGGACGAAACAGGAAAGAAGTCCATCGATCGACCCAGAGACTCCCAAATTTCACGGATTTCATGTTCGGAGGCACCGAAGGAACCCAAAGACAAAAGCAGATGGAACAACAGCATCGAGTTTCTGATGTCCTGCATCGCCATGTCGATTGGCTTTGGAAACATTTGGAGATTTCCTTTTACCGCCTATGAAAACGGTGGAGGAGTCTTCCTGATTCCTTATATCATCGTCCTGTTTCTTGTCGGGAAGCCGTTTTATTATTTAGAGATGGTACTTGGACAATTCTCTTCGTCCTCTTCTATTGGAGTTTGGAACCTGTCTCCTGCTTTCGTTGGTAATTTTCTTACATGTTTTATTTTTGCTTTTTACCCTAAATTCATGTTCAATCGTTTCAGGTGTTGGCTGGTCACAGTTTTACTCGAATATTGCCGTGATGACGTACTATAGCTCGCTGTTGGCTTTGTCATTGATCTACCTGGTTAGTTCCTTCTCTGCTGAACTACCGTGGGCTAAGTGCAAGGAAGAATGGGGATCCGTTTGTATTGATTCTGGCAGGAAGATGAGCAACAATGTTAGCATATTGGCAGACGATCAACATAGAAGTTCGGCGGAACTGTACTTCTTGTAATCTTCATTTTATTGTATATGACAGCATATACAACATAGCACATATACTAAACTGTTACATACAACACAGTACATGTACTAAGCCATTACATGCAACACAGCACATGTACTAAGCCATCACATACGACACAGCACATATACTAAGCCATCACATACAACACAGCACATGTACTAAGCCATCACATAGAACACAGTGCATATACTAAGCCATCACATACAACACAGCACATGTACTAAGCCATCACATACAACACAGCACATGTACTAAGCCATCACATACAACACAGCACATGTACTAAGCCATCACATACAACACAGCACATGTACTAAGCCATCACATACAACACAGCACATGTACTAAGCCATCACATACAACACAGCACATGTACTAAGCCATCACATACAACACAGCACATGTACTAAGCCATCACATACAACACAGCACATGTACTAAGCCATCACATACAACACAGCACATGTACTAAGCCATCACATAGAACACAGCACATATACTAAGCCATCACATACAACACAGCACATGTACTAAGCCATCACATACCACAGAGCACACATACCAAGCCATCACATACAACATAGCACATATACTAAGCCGTCAATACAATTATAATACAAGCATACTATAATTATAATGCAAGCTTTCAACAAGATCAGTCTCAGTACTCAAACATCTTCATAATTTCAGAAAGACGGTCCTTCAAGAAAAAGACAGTATTGACGACGGTATCGGATTGCCAGATTGGAAATTAACACTGTGTCTCTTCATCAGCTGGTTATCCGTCGTGCTCATCACCTTCCAGGGAGTGAAGAGTTCAGGGAAAGCTTCCTACTTCCTCGCAATTTTCCCTTACATAATTTTGGTCAGCCTCCTAGTCAGAGCAGTGACTCTCGAAGGAGCGGTAGACGGAATTTTATTCTTCATTACCCCAAAATGGTCCATGCTCCTAGAACCAACTGTGTGGTACGCAGCCGTGACACAGTGCTTCTTTTCTCTTTCTGTCTGTTTTGGCGCGATTATCACGTACTCGTGTCACAACGACTTCAAACATAATGTGTATAGGTAAGATATACTTAAAGATTACGTTTTTTCAATAGTTGTGTTAACACTCCTAGACGAGTGCTACATTTTTTGCGATATCTTTGAGATAATGTATCTTGTGAAGTATCTCGGGAGCATTGTGTTTTGATTTTACAACGAAAACTGCTGTTATCATTGATAAGTATAGTTAGACTGTTGTTTAATTTTGATAAAGGCTCGAGTGGCTAATCTTGACAATCTTTGCTTTAAATAATTAATTTTATAATATTTTTCAATTGTTTTCGAAGTATCAGAGATACACGTCATTTCATATGTATCTTTATTTTTGCTTTATTTTTATGTAAACCTAACCGACATACTGTGTCTGTTTTGCATACATATACATAGAATACTGTTTCTGACGAAAATTTGTTTCAGAGACGCTATGATCGTGACCAGCTTGGACACCGTGACCAGCTTATTAGCAGGATGTACGATTTTCGGAATTCTTGGAAACCTAGCTCACGAAATGAACGTCGACGATATTGGTGCAGTGGTAAAATCGGGAGCTGGCTTAGCATTTATCTCATATCCAGATGCGATAGCTAAATTTGAAGTGTTACCACAGGTAAAAATGTAATACGAATCATGCTACTTATAACTGATAAGTCGTCTTTCATTCAACATTACAAAATTCTCTGTCCATCTTTTATTAAAGGAATGTATTTAATAGCTGTTTTCAGTGCTGTTTTTTGTCATGATGTTCGTTCTGGGAGTAGGAAGCATAGTAGGAATGGTCTCCGCAATAGTGGACGCTCTGAAAGAAAAATTTCCTGATATTCCATTGTGGAAGGTTGTCACTGCAATTTGTTCCATGGGATTTGCTGTCAGTACTGTGTATGTGACACCGGTACGTAGATACTGAACATACACCTGTACATATTATTTCACCGGTTACTGAATTATTTTACTGGTTTTATTTATCACACAGGGTGGACAATTCTTGCTAACGCTAGTCGACTACTATGACACATCCTTTGTGGTATTCGTCCTCGCATCCTTTGAAATCACTGCCGTCACCTGGGTATATGGTTTGTACTTCCATTTAGTTCTAAAGCTAATTACAATTCTACAATTTCTATAATAATTACAATTTCTCTTAATTCTGTATCTTCACATAGGTACCGAAAATCTTATCGATGACATAGAATTTATGCTGGATAGAAGAATGAGCTGTTACTGGAGAATTTGTTGGTTTCTCGTGACACCGTTAATTTTGATAGTCATCTTCTTCTATACGGTAGCTACCTTGTCTCCGTTGACTTACGGCGGCAAAGAGCTACCAGTCTCCGCTCATGCGGCTGGAATAGCCATACTTTGCTACAGTGTGTTGCAAATACCTTTCTGGGTAATTGTGCAGATGGTGAAAAATAGAGATCTACCTTTTATACAGGTGTTTTGCTATTTATTTGTGTTTTAACTTTTTTTATATGTGGGTAATGACTTGTGTTTTCGTTTTAGAACGTGAAGAAGTCTTTTCTACCGTCTCCAGAATGGGGTCCCCGAGAAATTAAGTACAAGAAAGACTGGCTTCGGTTCAAGGAAGAAAAGGCCAAAGCAAGGAGTCTGAAACCTGGTCCTAAATGGCGTAAATTACTACACATGTTAATCGGCAAAGATAAATAATTTGAGACTGAAATCCATAACGAATCTCTTGTTAGAAAAGTATTCGATACTTCGAATTCCATTTGTGATTACTAAAATGAAGTAACAACTGAATATTTATTCAAGAATTATTTTTAACAGTGAAAAGATGTGTACAAAAGTTATTTTATTCTCTATCTCCAATTAACATAGTGACGATCCTGGATCGTTTCTTGTCGGGATTCATCCTTGCTATCCTTTTGGAGTCCTTGAAGTCCTTCCATTCTTTGTGCTTTTCTGGGTCCTTTGGTCCCCAGTCAGAATTTGGTTTCAGAATCTAAAACACAGAGAAGAATGGATACAATTTTATGAAATAAATTAATAAATATGTATATAGTTATTTAGTCATTTACATCTAAACAAGATTCACTTTTTCCTTGCTTTAACCTGCCAATAATGACCCAGATGGGAAGTTGTATCACTCCTAGTATCAAAAGTAACCAACCAGCAACTAAAAGAATGAGGCACATTAATAAAAATATAATAATATTTTGAAAATAATACTATTATTTTCTAAACTATGTAGAGTTAATTGTAATTTAAATTTAATTGTACCATAAGCAGATGTTGGATAATATTCATCATTGTACATGATAGGTTTGATCTCCGATAGGAAATAGATCAAGATAGAGAAAAGCGAGAGAGGAGTTAAGAAACCCCAGCAAAATCTCCAATAGAACGACGGTCTCGAACCGACCATGAATTCAGTGTCATCCAAAAAGTTATCGACACCTGCAAAAACAATAACCAATCGATAAAAATGTTTTCAGAATGTTGAAAATATATAAATGTTGATTTACCGTACACCCAAGAAATAGCGATCACTTCGAACGAAGCTAAAAACACGACGATGAATGTTCCGCCGAAATAATCCACCAGATTTAATATGTATTGGCCTCCCTGAAGATACGTTGCTTATATTAATTAATTATAATTGTATTCAGAACTTAAATAATGATAGTGTATACAGAACTTAATTTTATGAATAATATATTACGTTCATATATAGTAAACTCTTATTGTACCAATAAACTTATATTATATTATAAACTCTTTGTATTATACTATACAAAAATTATATTATAAACTCTTTGTAATTTAATATATTATAAACTCTTCTATTATATTGCAGGAACATTATACACAATTGTGAAGATGTAAATCAAAAGTGCACAACGTTACTCACTCTAGTACAATAAACGATACCAATCAAGAAACCAGCGCAAGAAACCCCTCCAGCAGCCTTCCAGTTCGGAAGTCGAGGAAATTGGTCCGTGATGATGCTAGTAATAACTCCAGCAAACGCAACTGTGGTACCGATTCCTAATATGAACAGCATCAAGAAGAAGAGGACCGAAAACAATTGTGGTACCACCGTAAACTTAGCAAGTGCTTCTGGATAAGAAATGAAAGCGAGTCCTGTTCCTGCGCGTACCACAGTACTGATGTCTTCTTTCCCTGATTCGTGGGCAAGATTACCCAGGATGCCGAAGATGGTGGTTCCTGCTATGAGACTGGTACAGAGGTCCAGAGCTGTTACCAGGGTGCAGTCTCTGGAAAGTTAGGAGCTTTTATAGGTGTAATCTTTGGAAAGTTAGAAGCTTTTATAGGTGCAATTTTTGGAAAGTTAGAATCTTTTAGAGGTGCAATTTTTGGCAAATTAGAATCTCTTATAGGTGTAATCTCTGTAAAGCTAGAATCTCTTATAGGTGTAATCTTTGGAAAATTAGAATCTCTTATA